AAGCAAGCAGGCAAGCAAGCAAGCAAGCCGAGCTAAAACCTCTCCTAAACATAGACCATGAGGGAGGTGAGCCGGCTGATAACAAGACAAAACAAAGCTTCACTCTCAGAACCAGTCCTGGAAGCACAGGACATAATACCAAACATAATCAGGACACACGATTGGAGATACAAACACCATAACATCACCCTAGGACAGCCCAAATTAACAAGTGAATGGACGTGGCCACAAGGAGATGGCTCTCTTCGAAGACAGTCCAGAGAACACCCAGACATTGAGGGCCAAGCACCCAGGATTAATCGGGGAAAAATACATCTCAATACCAGCTTTCCTAAACCAAGGCCTGCCTTCATCAGAATTCATGGTATCCCAAAATATGGTTTTGTCCAGCCCAACGCAGAGAAAGGAAACCACATGAGTATGAGAAGCGACGAAAGGAGACAAAAACCTCTGCTCCAGGTCCTCCTGCCGGGGCCCGCGGAGGACACACGCGGCGTGGCCGCTCCCGCCGCCTCCGCTGCAGGTTCCCCGGCCCGAGCTCCGCCGCTCGGCAGCGCGGCCGCCGGCCCTGAGCCGCCGGGGCCCGGGGCGGGTGGGGTTGCCCGGACCGGGACGGTCGGGGGGCGCTCGGGGGCCGTGTCTGGCCCCGGGCCGAGCGCTGACGGCCGCGTGTCGCCCGCAGGGAAGGCGCAGGAGGCCTTGCAGGAGCGGTACCGGCTGGGTTCGCTGCTGGGCAGCGGCGGCTTCGGCACCGTCTACTCGGGGACGCGCCTCGCGGACGGCGCCCCGGTGAGTGGCGGGGCCGGCGCCAGCAGAGGACGACGAGGAGGAGGGCGGGGGAGGAGGAAGAGAGGCAGAGGAGGAAGAGGAGGAGGCCGGGGCGCGGCGGAGCGGAGCGGGCGGTAAGCTCAGGCCGCTGCCGCCCCTTGCTCGCAGGTGGCAATCAAATGCGTGGCACGGGATCGCATCCGGCACTGGGGCGAGCTGGTGAGTGAGCGGGGCCGGCGGCTGAAGGCGGGGCGTGCCGGGCGGCGAGGAGCTGGGGCCCGGCAGGGTGGGAGCCGCCGGGAGCCCTGCAGGGAGAGCGGGCGTGGGGTGAGCGGGGCATGCGGAGCATCCCGGGCTGGCTGAGGGGTCCCAGAGCCCTGGCACGGCCTCAGCCCCACTGACGGCATCGTGGTCCTCGTGCAGCCCCACGGCGCCCGTGCGCCCCTGGAGATCGTGCTGATGGACAAGGTGTCCTCTGGGTGTCTTGCTGTCATTCTGCTCCTGGAGTGGGTTGAGCTGCCCAACAGCTTCTTGTTGGTGCTGGAGCGTCCGGAGCGGTGCCAGGACCTCTCGGGTTTGCTGGCGGAGCGGAGGTTCCTGCCGGAGGAGGAGGCGCGGGGTCTGTTCCGCCAGGTGCTGGAGACCAGCTGCGGGGTCCTGCACAGGGACATCAAGCCCGAGAACATCCTCGGCTCGACCTGGCCACCGGACAGCTGAAACTGATCGACTTTGGCTGTGGCGCCTTCCTCCAGGACACAGCCTACACCCAGTTTGCAGGTGAGCCCTCCCAGGGGATGCTCCTGGGCATCTCCTGGCCCAGCCGGGGTGCAGCACCGAGGTTTCTGCCTGTTAGAGCCGGGATGGGATTAATGCTTGAGCCAAGTTGATTTGGGTGGGGGTGTGAAGGGGGCCGGCTCCCAGCCCTGCCGACAGCCTTCATCACCCACTCTTCCCTGGTCTGGGGTTGGAGCTGGGGCAGCCAGGCCGACAGAAACCCCCATGGAGGTAGCAGAGAGGGGTGGGTCTGACTGCGTGCCCTGGCTGGTTTGGTGTGCAGGCGAGGAAGGGCTCGAACTGCACCTCTCCCCTTGTTTGCCTTGGCTTACTAACATTTTCTGAGGGCCGTGCAGGCGGGGAGGAGAGTGGGTTTTCTCCACCCCTGAGAGGGTTTTTCTTTTGCGTGTCGTGGTTGGACCTTCTCAAGGCTTCTGCTGCCGTCTTACAGGACCAGTGGCTTCTTTTCCAGTCCCGAGTCTGTAGGCAAGTCCCAAGTGCTGGTGAGAGGGCAGCGAGTCACCCCATGTGCCACTAGGACATCTCCCACATGCCCAGGGATGATGGGGCGAGGCTCTGGGAGCAGCAGCATCCTTCTGAACTCCATCTGTATTCCATAGGAACCCTGTCCTACAGCCCACCAGAGTGGATCCACCACCAGCACTACCACGGCGAGGCAGCAGCGATGTGGTCCCTGGGCCTCCTGCTGTACCACCTGGTCGTGGGGAAGCACCCGTTCAGGAGGGGCCAGGAGATCATCTGGGGACGGATCTTGTTCCCACAAAGGCTCTCTCAAGGTGGATCCTCATCTCTGGGCAGGGGGGAATAGCAGTGCTGGGAGACAGAAGCGGGGTTGTGAGCATCCTGCTCTGGCAGCTGCTGAGGAGGTGGCACAAGTCCTGCTCTCCTACTCTCCTCCAAACAGTAAATCCATGGGGAAGTTTAGGCACAACCCTGGGTACACCCAGGCCTGGGTGTACACCATGGCCTGGGCACGGGAATGGGGCAGGGGCGGCAACTTCTGCAACGTACTGGTGATTTCTGGTTTCTCTCTTCAGAGTGCCAAGATGTTATTAAGAGGTGTTTGTCCATGCAACCGTTGGACAGGCCATCCTTAGAAGACCTTTTGCGCGATCCTTGGATTCAGGGTGTTCATCTGCCCTAGAAGATGGGAGAGATCCACGTGCACAGCTGGATCCAGAGGCCTGGCAGGTAACAGCTGCACACATCTCTTGGCAATCAGTGGCAAAGCAAACCAGAGTGCCTGTAGCTCTGAGCAGGGATCATCAGAAGGAAACACACAGCTCTTGGGCTGGAGCTGAGCTGGAGACCTGGTGTGGCAAGCACTGGTGGACACCATCCCCCCTAGGTTTGCTTGTTTGGTTCACTGATGGCTGGGGCCCTGGGCAGAACACTGACAGCCTGCTCTGGCCCCCAGGGAAGGAGAAGGAGCCCCTAGAGAAGCTGTTCCAAGTGGGGCTGCTGCCGGAGACACTGAGGACACCCTCAATGACAAGAATCTCTTCCTCAACCTGGCCAGCTGAAGATGATCGACTTTGATTCTGGCACCTTCTTCACAGACACACTCCACACCCAATTTGCAGGTGAGCCCACAGCCAGGGGGATGCTGCCAGATCTGGGCATGGCACAGCTTGGCCGGGCACCAAAGGTTTCCCCAATTGCTGGGACAGATGCAATGAATTCTTCAGTGGCTGCCAAACTGCTTTTTGGCTCTGGGCAGCTGCTGAGGGGCTGGATGTGCCATGGCTGGCTGCAGGCTGGGCACAGTCCTGCCCTCCTGCTCTACTCCCAGAGGCAGCAGTGACTGGGAGGTTTGTGCCCAGCTCTGGGCATGGCCAGCATGGCCTGGGCACTGTGGGCTGTTGGGACAAGGGGGACAGGATCCTTCAGCTGACGGGTGATTTCTGGTTTCTCTCCTTGCAGCCGGGCTCAGCAGATGCTGAGGCTGCTCTGGGCTCTGCCAGGGCTCTGCTGGTCTCAGCCCTGGGCACAGCTGGGCCGGCCCTGCCCTCACATTGCTCTGAGAGCTTTGTCTCAGACGAGCCCGTTCTGAGCACTCCACCTGAGCTTTGTGCTTCTGCAGGTGAGTGAGACTCTCCTGCAGGCCAAGAGATTGCAGTTAGGGACACACATCCAGTTGGCAAGAACCCAAACTCTCCATAGTCCCAGCTGAACGCCTGGATCTCCACAAGATGTTTAGAGTGTCCCACTTGTCATTCCTTTTTGGTTAGAATTGTGCAATTGCACTTCCTTCCTCCTCTAGAAGTGCCACGAGTGGGCAAAACCTGGCAAGGGGGCCGTGTTCCTAAGGCAGTGCAGTCTGGAGCTGATGGTGGAGAATTGCACTTCCAAACCAAGCAAAAAGCCGTAAGTGGGACTTTGCGTCTTTAAGAAGCCTCTGACAGTTTCAAAGGGAATGTGCAGCTCATTCACAGGGTGAGAAGGAAGGGCATCTTCTAAAAGATTTGGGTGGTGACAGAGTTGAGATTGCCAGTCCTGCCAGGAGCTGGCAGGGCACAAAGCAATTTCTTCTTGCTTCACACCAATTTCACCACAATTTAAAAGAACAATATTGGAAACAAATCCCAAAATCTTTTTTAAAAAGGTTACAGAGGCCAGTAAGATGCATCAATGCCATTGACTCATTTGCAAAGTGAATAACTGAGTTTTCTGTTGCAAAAGATCAGTTACCTCTTAAAGTTACAGAAGATTTTTCCCTGCACACTTGGGTTTTGATTTATCTTTCACATTTTATAGGTTTTTTCCTTTTCTTTTTCCTTTTTCTTTTCCTTAAACCAGAAAATATGCCATACAATAGGAGTGTCCTCTGCTTCTGGTTCCCATGTTTAGCATCTCCTTCCCACTGGCTGAGCTTCTCAGGCAGAGCCCGGCAGCTCCTGGCCCTGCAGGGCTGAGGCTTTTCCCCATTGCTGGGCACAGACTGGTGGAGCAGCACTGCAGAGCACGGGGACACACAGAGGGACCAGGAGCAGCTGCCTTTGTCCACCTGGAGCTCCAAGGCCCAAACTCTGAGCAGACATGGCTGGAAGCAACTGACAGGCTCCCTGTTTGCTGTGCTGCCCCACTTGTGCCCGGCCCAGCTCTGTGTGGGGCAGAGGGAGAACAAGGGGCAGCTTCCCCCCCAGTCCCTCTGGCCCCAGGGCTTTGGACACTCTCAGCACCAGCTGCTGCAGCCAACATCTCTGCTGGCACTGACAACAGCACCCAAATTGTGGCTGATCCCGAGGGAGCAGCAGCAGTGCCTGTATCTGATCCCTGACTCTGGGGCAGGGCTGGACAAATGACCCCCACAGCAGCAGCAGCAGCAGCAGCAGCAGCAGCAGCAGCAGCAGCAGCAGCAGCAGCACATGGACCTGACTTTCAGCACAGCCTCTGCCACTCTTCCCTCCCGTGTGCAGTGGTGTCACAGCAGCCTGGGGCACCTGGGAGCCCCCAGGGCCAGCAGGGACTGGAGATGGCAGCCCTGGGCTCCTTGAGGTTGTGCAAGGGAACAGAGGTGAGGACTCGCTCTCCGTGTGGAGCTTCCAGATGGAAAAGACTGCTGTGGGCAGGCAGCTCCAAGGGCAGAAAAAGAAGGGGCTGGAGCCCTTGATCTGTGCCAGTTCCACAGTCCTGGGCAGCAGCCCCTCAGTATCCCAGAAGGAATTGGATGAACTGTGTTCTTCTCGCTGAACCATCTTGTTCAGCATGAGCAGCTCAGCACCAGGAGCTAAAGGAGCTGAAGCCTTAGGCCACAAGAGCTGACCAAGAGGGGACTTTTGGACCTAAGTAATGTTGCTAACATGGACCTAGCTGAATGCAGCAGATAGAATCCTTTCTGTTGGGAAAGACCTGTGAGTTCATCCAGTCCAGCCCAGCAGTGTCAAGTTCAGCACTAAACCCAGTCCTGAAGTGCCAAGGCCTGAGTGAGGCCTGACAGGCCCTGAGCCAAAGGTGACCTCTCAATGAACCTTCCAACCAAAGGTTGTCTTTGTATCCACTCATGACTGAAATATGCAGGATCAGTAGCATTGTGATAGATGCATCCACTCCTTAGCGAAACATGGATTGACCTTTTTTGCGTTTAGAAACTGGACAAGGCCACGAAATCTGACATCTGGCCTTGTTTGGGGCTGTATGGTCAAAGTCAGTTCCCTTGGTTCCTCCTTGAGCCCTGGCCAGGTTTTGGGAGGGATCCAAGATGAGAATGAAACCAGATGTTCCGACACTAAAAGCGCTGTCAGTTTGTTTATTCAGCACTATCAAAGCATCCAAAAATTGCATCTCAGAAAAGGAAAAGAACTTGTAGGTTTGGGAAGACAAGGATGGAGTTTGTTGACAGCACATTGGAAACAGCACCAACAGAAGGAAGAATTGGTTTTGGAACACTCCCACAGGGAGTGACAGAGGAGGGTTTAAATCTTGAGCTCAGGTTCATTTGTTCAAGTGAAATATAATATTATTATTCATAGTAATGGTTATATAAAAATATAACATGATCTTTTTTTTTTTAGATATCATTAAAAATTAATAATGTGAAATAATGCTGACAATGCTAATATGTCTCCTTTGGCTGCTCACTGTGACACTAAATACCCTACAGAAAAGGACTAGCCAAGACCCAAACATCAGTGGTAAACTTTGGGAATTGTATACAAGGAATAAAGGAGGAAGGGATGAAATTGGCTATTTTTATGGGGTTTGCTGGTACTGTGATGTGGAATGCTTTGTGTGTTCCTTTGAAAAATACAGTGAATAAGACATAAGGGTTTTTCATATACCAGATTATCCACAAGCTGCAGGATTGGTTGAACAGATGAAGGGATTGTTAAAAGAGTAGTTGAAGATATGAGGAGATTAGGAACCTGTCCCAGTGGAGAACCCATCTCACAGATGTGCTCCATACCCTTAACAGTGGGCCCACTGGGAAATGGAAACCCCCTGGCTGTGCATGGCTGCACCCAATTTGCAAATACAGCCATGGACACTGAGACTGACTGGGAAATGGTTCTGGGTGCGATGGCCCCTGACAAGACCCCCCCCAGAGGCTGCAGGGCTGGGCCTTCATGCACTGGAATTAATTAGGATAAATCAGAAGCAAATGAGACTTAACAATACAGGAACAGGAATTCAGATTCCTCCAGGACACTTTGGTTTGATAACTGCTCGCTGGAGCTTGGCCTTACAAAGCGTTCATGTCATGGAAGGAAGAACTGATGCAGATTATCTAGGAGAAATTTAAGTAATTCTGTTAAGTAATAGTGAACAAGATTGGATTTTTCAGCCCCATGGCGGGGTGGAACAGTTACTGATATTGCAGTTTTAACAACAATTGTGAAAGAAGGAGCTCCACCTCAAATCCACCTCTGTTTGTAGAGAGAGAGGGTTTGGATCCAGCGGTCCTAATAATGGAGCCAGAGTGTGGGTCCAGAGGCCCAATGGCCCTCCCGAGCCAGCTGAAGGAACAGCTCTGGGGAAAAGACAACACTGTTTGAATCCTGAAACCTGGGCAGAAGCAATGGGAATGTGTCTCTGCAGCCAAGTGCTCTGTGCCAGAACAAGTGAATGTTATGGGATATTGTTTTACAGATCCTGCCAGACCAAATCTCCCTATTTGCCCCAACGGCCCTGTGATAGGTTGACTTAGGAAGAAGAAACTCAGAAGAGATTCTCCCTAAGGGAATTTCCTCTGTGGGGGTTGGGATACCTGCAACAGCCAATTAGAGAAAGTTAGTTCGCTCCGTGAACACACATTTTGAAGGAGGTAATCCGGAACTGACCCTCTTGGTCTTCCGGTGGCTGAGCAGG